GAAACGATCATAATACCACTGAATTATGCGCGCGTGCGTGAGTAACTTGGTTGGAATTTAATGATTTGCATCCATGTTAAGTACTTTCATGCTATCATATGGCATGCATACTCACAATGTTGTTGAGTCAAGTCTTAAAGCTCATAATTCTTTATCCATTATTTGGCATCAGGTATTTGACCGGAAGACTAAACGGCTTGTTGAAGAATTAATTGACAAAAAGATTGTTTGTCAATGAGAGCCATTTATCAGTCAAAAGTAGGTCTTGGCCTAATAAATGTGGGTATGGGTTCATTTCTCCTTCTTGTTCTGACTCAGGCTACTTATATTAGCAACTTCCCGTCACCACTCTCTTTTGTGGCATATGATTGTTATTAGCTGTACTGATAGTGATACAGGGAAAAAGCCAGACCGAAATGTTAGATCCTGTGGACCTTTCTGGAGTCAGACAGTGCATTGTCAGTGCATTAGAAAGAGCAAAAACATAATTAATTGAAAAAAAATGATGATCATTATGTACTTGGGTCACTGATTTCAGAAATGGCACTTTCTGTAGGCAGACAGTGCATTGTCAATGCATTAGAAAGAGCAAAAATATAATTAATTGAAAAAAATAATTATCATTATGTGCTTGGGTCACTAATTTCAGACGTGGCGCTTTCACCAACTCAATCAAACTTACTTAAAATCTTTTCTTTGAAGCATTACCTCCGCTAGATCCCTAGCAGCTTCTTAATCCCCCCCTTTCTAAATCTTTCCTTTGTGTTGAGTCACTTGATCCTTTGTAATGCCTTGAAATGGTGGATTTCGTTTTTGAAGGGTGAAGGAAATCCTGCAAAAAATTTCTGAAAGCCAGGGAAATAAGATGAATTCACCTGAATCTGCTTCGGATATACCTAAATTTATTGAACTTTTTAAGGTATGAGCTGCTTTATGGCTGGAAACTTTTTGATTTTGCTTAGTCATGGGAATGGGCGATGCAAGTACGAAGCCAAATGGTGCCATTGCTTGTGAATTTCACCTTGGTAAACAAAATCATATACGCAAGTAACTTGTATGTTGATGCCTTTTTCCTGTAGCAAATCAGCAATAAACTTTGCATGATTACCTTTAGACTTCAAGATTTTGTCTTGTAAAGAAGAAAGATATTTCTATCCTTCTACATACTTAATGCCTGGCAATAGTAGGATCTAAAGTAGATCAGAATGTTCATTTCTAACATATTTCACCAGAAATTTAGATGATCTACAGCTGGTATTGATGTGGCTTATGAATAACTGAAAGAAATTCATCAACATATACCATAAGAACAAACAATGAAATAGGAAGTAACATTACTTTTCCATCTTCATTACATACAAGCACTACCGAGACAAGTCAATGATATATAATTTCAATTGTTACCTATATGTTCACTGTTTGAATGGTCTTGCTTTAACTAAACTATTCATCTATTATCTTGATTTCTTTTTTTCCCATTGTGCCTTTTATTTGATATTTCACTTGAGTTTCAACTCCTGACATTTGATTGACCTGAAACTAGTATGAATTATATGCAACTTGTCTTATGAGAAACTGAAGGAAAGGGGAGAGTTTTATGAAAGTAATTATAATTATTCTGTGAATCGAGTAGGATGCTCTTCCTGGTATATCTAATTTGATGTTCTGTAGTTTTTGTACTGGATTTTTTGTGCATGAAATTACATGCTTCTTATAAATGATGTGTCATTGTGTCGTAGGATCAAATTAATTTGGCTGAAGTCAAGGAACCTTTGGATAAGTTTAAGGTGGGCTAATACTTTCTAAAGTTCTTAAGTATGTTTGTTGATGATGTGCAGTTGAACCTGAATACTATCTTAGCTAGTCTGAACCACCAATGTAAATTTGAAGATCCTATTACATATTAAGGATTCTCTGCGTGGTCAATTTCACTATGTTTTAGTGAAAGGTGTTTTGTCTCCACATATCTCCTTTTGTCTTAAGTTTTATGAAGCAAAGCACTAGTTTCTGTTTCTATCACTCAATTGCTTTGAAACAAGAGGCTTCTAGTTATCAATTAATAAACTCAGGTGACTTGAAATTATTGATCTCAACACTATTTTACATCTCTGTTTTTCATTAAGCTAGCTCTTGGTTTCTTAATATTATATATGAATAAGAAAATTGATCATTATTATTCAAAGATGCCTTCATTTCTGTGACATTCAATTATAAATTTGAGTGATCTCCCCTTAAAGGGCTGTTCGGGGAAAACGGATGAGTTTCAAAGAAGGTCGGATTCATTGCAAGTGCCAACATTTGCTTTTGTTGAATGGCTAAAAACCAGAATAATATAAAGGATGCTGGCCCCAACAAGTCAGCCAATCTAACCCCCAAAAAATAGGAAACGGTAAATTAAAAGTTACCCAATCTCGCTAAAAATAAAGGAAAAAAAAACACTGAAAGATAATTTTGACTAAGTGATAATCCTATTCTCCTATAAACAGAAACAAGTATGGAGAATTATTTCCAGGTTACATATGGCCCACAATGGATCAGTGTATCACTTTTTGTAGTACCTGATGGCCCTGTTTGGTATGAAGCACTGAATTTTAAGAGATTGGGAATGGGATTGGGCATAGGATTGGACATGAGAATAATATTTAAAATTATGTTTGGTATGTGATAGGATTAAAAAAAAAGAAAAAAGTCTGGCTCAAATCAAACGAAAAATACAAGTAAAAGACAAGATTATCCTCATCTTCTTCTTTTCTCCATGACTGCCCTGCAACTAAAAAAAAAAAAAAAACCAGATCTATCTTCTTTCTTCTTCCTTCCATATCATCGTGTCCCCTCCACAAAACATCCTCTCTCTCCCCCCTCCCCCAGTTTTTGAAACTCAGCAAAATCAATGAGTAGCATAGATCTAGAATGGTGGCCACACAAGGGAGGAAAAAGGTGATGCAGGAAAATCAACCCAGCAATTCTAAGAAAAAAAAAATTGGTATGCAGAGCACTGATCAACTTGCTAGCTTGATTCCACTTCATTGATTGATTAACACCTACAAAGATGGGCGAAGAATGCAAAAAAAAAAAATAAAAAAAAAAAACGCAGAGAAGAGGATAAAGTGATCCCCTTTTATATGATGTCGAGGAACTTGTCACTAGCAAGGGAGGAAGTCATCGCCAAAGTCATCCATGGAGGTGAACTTGTCCAAGCAATGAGGTCAAGGATGAGAGGATGAGTTAGACCTGGTATTTTTTAGGAGGGTATTTTGGTCATAAAAATTTCAATCCTAGAATTAATTTTGCAATACCGGAGGGTAGTGGGTTTTAGTGTTCCCACCTAAGTGGGACCGAGTAATCCCAAGTATTGGTGAATAACTTTTACCAAACATGTTAAAGGTGGTATTACCCAATCCCAATACCTTACCCAATTCCAATCCTAATCCCTACCCTCCAATGCTGCCTACCAAACAGGGCTGATATGTTCTGAAATATTTGTCAGTCACTGTTCATGTGCTCATATGGCACCTTCTAGCTGTCCCACACTTCTCATCTACTACTTTTCCCCACGCCAGTCAGCCATTAACTAAGCAATTTGTTTTGTACCCCTCAGGTACCATGTCCCTTCATGGATCTTGTTACCTGACATGCCTTGCTAATAGACTAAACAAGTATTAATGGAATGTTATTTCCTGAGGTGATGTCTGTATTGTCCCCTGTAAAGCCAGGAATGGTGTCTAAGTGATATTATAGTTTTCAGTAATACTGCTTTATTTCCTTTTGTTATTTATTCAAGAATCCTTTATACCTGCCAGCGCCACGCTTTTTCTCCCTTTTTTTATTCCATGGATCCTGTAGAGTCGACTCTACAAGAAAAACTAATTCATTTTCTTTTCTAATGCGCTAGTTCCATGAACTTTTGTTTGTATCAGGAGTTTGGATTGAAAACTTATAAACTAGAGTGGGCACACGCATTTGCATGAAGCCCAATATAAACTGCACTGTTCATAGCTCGTAAACAATGCAGCTTCCTACAACTATTATAAACATAATTATTGAATTATTGATTTTTGATTCTGAATGCTTAAACTGCTAATGCAAACTATTTTTGGATTTGTGGTGGTATGATATCTTGTTTGAGGATTCATATCTTAAATATTTGTGGGCAGACATTCAACGAGTTTTTTATAAGAGAGCTAAAGCCTGGTTCAAGACCCATTTGTTCCATTGAACGTGATGATATTGCTGTATGTGCTGCCGATTGTCGTCTAATGGCATTTAAATCAGTTGATGATAGTTTAAGATTTTGGATTAAGGTAATTTTTTTTTTTGCCTTATCTCTTCTACATGGAATGTTTCCATCCTTGAAAGTTGCTTTCTTTCTAATATTAAGATTCCGTGTTTGGAAATCTACGAATAACGCATTCATACTATTTAGACTCAATTTACTTTGTGATATAAACAGTTTTCAGCCAATTTCTGAGACCATTATACTAGTGCTTATAGAACTAGCACCTTTTGGTATTCCTGTAAGTGCTTTGGCGCAGGAGGGAAGAAATTTGTGTGAAAATGGGATTATGATCTGTCTTTACTTGTGTTATTGTGCTGTGTCTTTGCATGAAAACAAGAAACAAGTGTAATAGATCAAAGTGTTTGGTTTGCTCAATCAAATTTGTTACCTGTAAACATCCTCTGGCTTGTTGTAATTACAGTTCTTTCTGGTGCCTTTTACTTTTGATTTGCTAAATAATTATAGTCCTTTATTCTGTCCACTTTGATTGGCGGCGAGGAAAGTAATTTCTGGATCACCTTCTGTCACTTCTAGGGTCGGAAGTTTTCAGTTTGGGGCCTTCTGGGAAATGAAAATTTCTTCTACTGCTTTTGTTGATGGAACAATTGTTGTATTTCGTCTAGCACCACAGGTATTTTTGGTTGCCTTTTTAAAATTTATTCCATTTCTGTTATATGTCACTTAAATTTTGACATAAAATTCTATTTCTTTCAGGATATCATCGTTTCCACTTGCCAGTATCGGGAACTATTGAGCAATTTGTAGATATCCCTGGATGCTTATATACAGTATGTGACAATCACTTTAGGAAAATGATAATTTATATACCTTTCCATATATTCTTGTTGGTCTATTTTCCTGGTATTTGATCTCACTGTCAATTTGTTTTGTCTTCTGTTCTCCTTTATACAGGTCAATCCCATTGCTGTAAATAGCAATTACTGCAATGTTTTTCACGGAGAATAAGCGTGTTTGTTTCAATAATTTCAACTGTAGACTTTGGAAAGGTTTGTCAATTTTCATTATGATAAGTCTATATTCTTGAATGCATACATCTAAAATGATTGAGAAGGATGATTGTAGGACTAAGGACAACACGATCATCAACTTCAGCACGCCTCTGATTGCAATCATTGTTTTCTTTTGCATTTTTTATTAATTTAATCATCACCTCTTTAGCTCATTTAACTTAATTGTTTTGTTTTTGAAATTGTCATGATGAACCCTGCTTCTTTTTTATAGCTAGTCTAAAGCTTAGATAAAGAAGAGGGTTATGTTAGGTCCTTGACAGTCAATGTAAAACTCTGTCAAATCTTACATAAATATATCCATTAGCCAACTCCTCTTATTAGGATAGGCTTGTTGGTGTAATTGTCTTGTTGCTTTACAATTTGTAATCTGTTGTGCCTCTTCAAATCTGAGCAACCTATTCATTTTCCTTGTCATTTTCATAGTTGACAACTTTTTCTTCTCTACATCGTGCTGCATTTCAACTTCAAAGTGATAATAAATAAACTATTTACATGTTGCGGGTTTGTAATGATTTTCCCTGTTTGAAAACAATTAAGTTACAGTATTTAGGCATTAGCTATTAGTTTTTCTGATAGATTACGTCATGGGGAGCAAACTTTTAAAGACTCAATGATGCTTAGTCTTGTCCTTTTCTATTTTGCAATAGTTATTCATTTTCTGATCAGCATTCTTTATCACATGGGTTTTAGCATCAGAATCAACTTATTTATTTTCTTATTCATTTTCTTTTTATGTGTTAGCAATCAGGCCTTGATAATGTCTTCTATAATGTATTTGTTTCTCTGTTCTTGTTGCATTTTTTGTTGTTGCCTGATGTGATCATTTAGAGTGGGTTGTCAACAGTGTTTTTCCTTTTCTAGATCCTAGGATGTTGCTGCCTTGATTGTGGCTGTTTTCAGGGGAAGAGTGGCATCTGTCATCCGCTTCTCTATATAATTTTCTTCAACCATGAATAAAATATGACGTTTCAGTCGTTAGTTTCTGAAATTCTTCACTGCTCACAAGTCAACATTACTCTTGTTTTATATTTTAAGCTTTACAGGGTCTTTCCTGTATACTGATTTAAGTATTTAGTCCTTTTTTTTTTTTTACTGGCCTATTCTTTCAGTTTTTTCTGATGTGCTTTAGACGGTTTGCAAAGTTCCTGAAATTTTTTTGAGAGAGCTACTTTCGCACCCATTTATGCATATTACTACTTTGACCCTGAATTGTATTTGACGCTCAATATATATTCATGTGATCTGGATTCAGGTGGCATTTGTTGCAATAGGAGCTACAATGGTCGGTAGCATCACTTTTACTAAAAAGAAGGGTGAATATGTCAAGAAGGAGACGAGGTATTCGAGAGACAGATTGGTCTCTTTTTCCCCCCTTCCATCTTTCGTTTCTCCTGCTAATTGACATTTCATTTGCTTAAATTGCAGTTTGGATATTCTCGTTTGGCGGAAGCACTGTAATCTGTGTTTTTGAAAGGTTGGTTTTAATACTGTGATAATGCTTCACTATTTTCATTTAATAATTCTTCATTAATTATTTATAAATTTTTATTGTAGAAAATATTCCTGATCTTTATTTTTCTTTCCCTAATCATAATTTTTGTGCAGTTTTAGCATGATCTACGAGCCAGTCATCAATAAATCTTGTGCACAAAATTAATTTATTTTACTTATTTTGAAGATTCTCTTCAGATTTTTGGTCTGATATGAATTGCTTGTGCCAGTCATTAGGTTAAGAAAAAATACCAACGACAAACCTTAATTGTAAAGCCATGTTCTCCTCCAATCCTCTTGCACATGCTCTTGTTATTTAATGTAATTTCTTATTTCTCATCTGATCCATTCAGTTCATTGTATCATTAGTTTTTAAGGAAATGTAATTGGTGCGTTCTTTTACAAGAATAGAGGTGGGGGCACAGCAGTGGATATTAAATCTTTGACTGAGTTTTAGTGTTAGAGACTAAGTTTGGATAAGGACACGATGATATGACAAGATTTAAAGTGTCCTGCAATGTGAGATGTGATGATCTTGGCACATTTCAAACGCGTAGAGCTGGTTTTGTTTAAATTGCCTATGCCTCAACAATTGCAGAAATTTCATGAAGTCTAGTCTATAAAGGGAGCTGAACTATATCATTTGCTTCTTCAGTTGTATTACATATGAACGGGACAACCAAAGGCATTACTGCTGTGCCTCAATTCTCTATTCTGATTGGTTTAATCTCCAAATGGTTTACACGTCCAACTCCTTTCTTTATTTATTTATCTTGCATGTGTAATCAGTGGGCTTAATTATTACTTGGCCTGAGATCTTAGCTTTCTGAGAAGATTGATAATTTCCTGTGTTAATCTTCGGAAAATAAGTGAAATGACATCTCTGTCCTTTCTTTTTGTTGGCCTGCAGATTCAATAGCGATTGATGAAGACCTCCTAGCAAATAGCGCTAGATCACTGAGACCTTGGTTTGTGTAGGAATGAAACTGGGCATCTCCACAAGGGGATCTCCGGTTGCCTGACAAATTTGGTGATGAGCTCTTGCCATTGGATATTGAAGATGTTGTTCGTACTTGTACGCAGTTTTAAAACTCATTCAAAATCAAAGACTTCTTTTGCTGGCTCTATTTGGGGTTGATCTGTTTTTGTGAAGAAGTGAAGAAAAATCAGAGAAACTCTACAGCTTACTCTCCAAAGCACACAAATGAGGTGAGTCTCCTAACAACCTCTTCAACTGGTCCATCACATTGTGCATTACGTCGATAGGCAGATGTTAGACTAGGTTGAATTCGTTGTTTTGGACTTGAGCTCTTGCCTCAATGAGCTTACAGTAGTAGGATCTCTCATGGGCTTTGTAAAAAGTTGGTGCTCCGTGTGGCATAAATCATATGATCAAGAAATAAGTGAACTATACTAGCAGTTGTATATATGACGAGCAAGGGCTGGCGAGTATGCACATTTGCTTAGCCTATCTGCAATCACCCAGTTTAACAGTTCTACCATGAAGAATTTCTCTAGAATTAATTTCAACTTAGCTTCACTTTTTTTTTTTTTGGGGGGGGGGGGGTCTGAAGAACTGCCAAGAAGTCTACCTCTGGATACACCTGTTCATTAGATATTACACCCAAGCAATGCACGGGACATTAATTTAGGGAAATGGATAAGAATAGAATGAAAGTGACATTTTAATAATTTCGATAGAAAAGAAGATAGACAAATAATGTTATAAATTTTTAAATGAAAATTTTTAAATTTACATTATATCTTCTCTCATAATTAATCAGTTTAAATATGGATAATATTGTAAAAATGTGATTAATATTCTATCAACCACCTTATGTTAAAAACCAACAAATTCTTTTTAAAAGGAGTCCTATAATAGAAATTAAAGAAATTGTAAGATAAAAGTATAATTAATATTTATATATATATATATATAATATTTTAATTTAATTTTCAAATCAAATGAACTTCTAGAAAATATCATATGTTATGGTTTTAGAAAAGTATAAATTAAAAATTTTTGTATGTTGTTTATGGCTCCACGTAGCCCACACCTCATATATTTTAATGTAAACCCCACAACTCTCACATCTTCTAACTTCATAAAATCTTAAGGTAGAACTATAGTACCATTGCGACGGTAATTACAATAGGTAAAGATTAGTAAAATTCAGAATCATTTGAATAGAATTCTTCGTCCATAGGGGATAAAATGCAACCATTCGTTTCGGCCAAGAAGGCAACATCTTACCAATTATGAATCTATTCAAAATGAGCCTGTAGTTTTTAGCGGCGCGTTTGTTTTAAGATTAAAAAATAAGTAAAATTTAAATAGATTATAGATTTTTTTTGCCAGAGATTATAGATTTTGTAAAAAGAATTTATTTTATAGAAATTTTATGAAAAGCAGATAGAATTAGTTATACTAATAAAAATTTATTATTATTTAGTTATTTTAAACTTTTATTATATCTTCGGGTATCTTTACATTATTATGAATTTTTTCTTATCCACGACATCAAATTATTTTTAGAAACTACTTAAAATAATTTTTTAAAATAAATCCGAAATTTATTTTTTATTTTTAAAAAATTAAACAAACATCATAAAATTTTACAAAAATTTTTTTAAAAATATTTCTTTCATGAAAAATGTTTAAACAAAGTTGCCCTTAACTAGCATTAAATGGTGAAAATCGATTTAACAAATCTTATTTTTTATTAAAACTATTAATACACTCATAGTTGAAAACAAAAAATATTCATTTAATTCAGAGAGTAAATTACAAATATATCGTCTTAAATTTTTAAACGGTATATAATTTTATTTTATTTTCAAAATTTTTACATACATTTCCTTAATAATGAGTTATTTAAATAAATATTATTTAAATTTAGCTAAAATAGAGCAGACTAAATATTTATTTATTTATTTATTTATGAGTTAATATGCAATTTAAATACTAAATTATAGGTCGAGGGATAATTTAAATTCTAAACCTTTAAAAGGTACATTCTAAACTTTAAATAATTAAAATTGAGGTAATTTTATTCCTATCGTTAACTTTCAACAAACTTTTATCAAATTAGCGCATAAAGTATAATTTTTTTTTAAATGAATTTGATAGAATATTTGTTAAAAGTTAATAATCGGGGTAAATTTGTCTCAATTTTAATTGTTTAAAGTTTAAAATGTACTTTTTTAAAGTTTAAAGTTCAATTGCTTCTTGACTTATAATTTAGAGTCCAAATTGTATATTAACTCTTTTTTGATTGATCATAAGTATTTTTTTCTAAAGATAATTCTATCTAAAGAATGGTCGGGCATGGATGGGCGCCTTTCTAGCAAGTATTCAGACTTTAATTCGCAATGTTATGAGGAATCAATGGTTTTTGCTAGACCTAATTCAAACCTCTCTTTCATAGTATTAAAATTTACTGAAAAATTTTCTCAACAAAGTTGGGCTACATAGAATTCTCCAATTTATTGTACACTAAAAATTTTGAATAAGTTTATCTGATCAAATATAAGATCAAAGTTATCTTTAAAAACATAAATATTAAAATTTAAAAAAATTATCTGGTTTTTTTAAAAAATTAATATCATTTATATTAATCTTATATTCTTTTAAAATATGAAATATCAGTTCAACTGAAAAAAAATTATTATTTGAGTTTCTCATTTATAAAAACTTTAGATTTCGACATTTGTTGGACTTAAATGTGGGCCCAAGGCCCCATGGGCCTGAACTATCGCTCCTAACCCTACACCAACATCTCTCTATCTTTCTATTAATAAAAACCTGGTAACCCTCGCGTCTTGTCTTCTTCACTCCTTAGCGGCGCCGAGCTCAGGGTTGATCGGCACCATGGTAACCGCCTTCTTCTTCATCTTGTTCGCCGTCTTGTTCGCTTTTTCTTTCACTGTCTTCAGTATCATTCGTCTCAGGGAATCAGTTGGACCACTACCTCATATATGCTTCTGTGTAGTTCTTATAATGAAATTAGCCAACATTTTTATTTGCAATTCGTGATTCCCTTCTTGATTTTTTATTTTCTTGTGTTGTTTCTTTTCGTTGCCTTTTGTTATTTACGGAAAAATAGCAGTCCGCAAGGTTTAAGTTGATGAGTATATGATTTCTTTCAATTTCTTGAGCTCCTTTTCAATTTTTGTTGATTGTAGGTGTTATATATTGTCAGTGGTAGCCTGTAAATATCCGTTTATTTTCGTGGAATTCATCTGTGCTGATTTTTTTTTTTGAAGTTTAGGTCAATACTGAAACTCTAGGGATCTGATTTCCGGACTAATTTGTGAGATGTATCATTTTGATATTCTTTATTGGTAAATGTTACAAGTATGTTGTTATGTAGGTGAACGTACCAAAGACCAAGAAGACTTACTGCAAGAGTAAGGAGTGCAGGAAACACACCCTGCACAAGGTCACACAATACAAGAAGGGCAAGGATAGCCTTGCAGCTCAGGGAAAGCGCCGTTATGACCGTAAACAATCAGGTTATGGTGGACAGACAAAGCCTGTGTTCCACAAGAAGGTAAGCTGTCTTCCTGTTTCGATCAACAACACTGAATCTCCAAGATGTTAATGTAGGTCATGTTATTGGGAACTAGTTTTAATTTCCTGTGGTCAATTACTTTTGTTTGAATAGGCTAAAACCACCAAGAAGATTGTCTTGAGGCTGCAATGCCAGGGTTGCAAACACGTATCTCAACATCCTATTAAGGTTAGCATATCAAACATGGCATATTTCAAATGTGTTATCTTTTCTGTCATGTCGTATATCACTGACTGATTATTTTAATTTGTTCTGCAGAGATGCAAGCACTTTGAGATTGGAGGGGATAAGAAGGGGAAGGGAACTTCTCTGTTCTAGTTTCAAAAATAGGATTTATAGTGTCAATGTTGTCTTCAATTTGCGTAGCTATGTTCTCATTTCGGATGTTCAAAACGTTTGGAATATTTTGTTTCTCTTTGGATATCTATTAGCTATATGCTATTCATGAAAATTATCTCGTGTTGGAGGATTGCTATCGCTAATATTAGTTTATTGCTTCCAGGTCTTTCATATCTTTTTATATTATTAATTAATTCATTCTGTTTTATTTTCCTCTTCTATTTTTGATTCGTGTGAACAAAATCCTTGGATCGAATCGTCAGTCTTTCTCACTGATATTACATTTGGGAAGTCAGTTTTTCAATTCATATTTTCTCACTCTATTTGTAAGTTTGAAACTTTTTGGTTGATATTGAAGCTGATGTTGTTCAATAACAAGTTTGTCACCCTTCAAAAGTTGGAACACCCAACAAATGAGAGATTGATTTGTGCAATAATTAGTTGCCTAAAACTTGCTGTAATTGGATCTTTATGGTGCAGTTTGTAATTCGGCTGCCTCAAAAAAAAAAAAAGGCGATAACTCTTGTAAATTTTGATGAATTTGGTAAATAAGTGGCCTCCTGGGAAGCTTGTATGTTGTTTATCATTTCTCGAGTGTGGACCATGCATTTATAACTTGAATTAATGTCGGTTATTCTGTACAACAATGAACAACCACTCCGGGACTCCAATGTCCTATGACGCTTCTGAAGCTTTTCCCCATGTTTATCTTGGAACAGTCTTTGAAGCAATTTTGGGACGATTCATTCCCCCTCAATGATTTAATTTTGTCATGTTTCTGCAATCAGCTGTTTAGATTTTAGGGATTAATAATCGTGACTTGCCACTATCCAAATGACATGTTTTTGCACCTGGTCTTGACATGAAAACAAGAGTTCCTAGAGGACCGAGCAAAACTCTCAAAGCTAGAACATTCATCGACAATTACTTCCTGGGTTAGGTTGGGCACATGCTCCCATGTAAGCATTCCGTTCTAGCCTTGACAATGTAGCCTCTCCTTGCATGCCTTCTCTTGCATATTGGTGCCATATTACCTGTTCCTCCATCAGCAGCCTCTGTTTCTTCTCCATCTCTGACATTTGCACATAGGATGGAGGTGCCACACCTAGTGAAGCTGCAAATGGATCTGAATTTGCTGTCCCAAAACCTGCACAACCTCCAGATGTTGGCGGTGCCGGTAATGCTAGCATTGCCGGCTTCCCTGCTGACCCGAGCGCCATACTGCTGGCACTTCCAGTGACTCCGAACCCTGGTCCTTGCATGGCTGCATTTACTTCTGCTTGCTTATACATGCCGTCCAGCAACAGTGTATCAAATCCACCTCCCAGTGCTGGCTTTTGGTTTGGTAGTTTGCTAGTTGACTGCACCAATGCTGTTTCCCAATCTGCTTCTTCATCAAAAGCATGCCATGGAAGAGCTTGACTGGTACTTGCTGTTGCTGGTGCAGCACCATCAAACAAGGCCAAGGCAAGCTTATCTCCTTGTTCTCCTGTGGTAGGTATGTCATCTCCTAGATGTAGCAAATCAGCTTCTTTTTGTTCTTGCTCTTTAGGTTCTTCTTTGATTGGTTCTTCAATCACTTCTTCAACCTTTAGTTCCTCCTCTGGAGGTGGTAGT